CGTAGAGACATAATACTAGTCTTTGCAAAATTTTATCCAATTCTATCGAACCGTTAGGGCTGTGCATCTATTTAAAATTTTGTTATAATTACTATAAAATTATTCCTAGCTAAAAAGTCTTCATTAATAAATTTTATTATATGACCACATATAGTTTTGATTTACATAGTACGCTGCACTCTCCAATGATGCATCATCAGGTATACATCGGTATTGTATTACGTATGTACGCATGATCAAATATATTTATCTGTTATCTAATTCATTTACTGTAACTACCGTATTCGTTTATACTAATACTCATTACAAAAAATGACAGTCGAGGCCCTTAGACTTTCTAGTGACTTAAGTGATTTAACTAGTCTTCTCGAAAATGATAATGAGTACAATGTGTTAATTGAAATTGGCCAGATACCTGATAATAAAATATTTAAAGCTCATTCTATTATTTTAAAATCTCGGTGTTCCTATTTCCGTGATGAGTTGATTAAAATAAATTACGATAAAAATAATGTCAAAAAAATTAGAAATCCAAATGTTTCGGCTAATGTTTTTGGAATAATTATTAAGTAAGTTATAATTACTATATGCAATTGTTAATCTCCAAATCTAAATTTTAGTGCTTATCATTAAATAGATATATCTATGGTGGTATTATTACATTTAATAAAGTTAATGCTTCAACAATCTTTGACCTTTTGATTGCTGCTAATGAATTCGGTCTTGATGAACTGGTTAATGATATACAATCACTATTAATAAAGACTCATGCTTCCTGGATGCGATTAAATTTTGCGCAGATTCTTAAAATAAGTTTTGAAACAAATAAGTTTAAAACTTTACGAAAATTTTGTAATGATATTATCGCAAAGCATCCAAATATTATTTTTGATTCAGAAAAATTCGAAACTCTTTCAGAAAATATCTTGGTTTCTCTTTTAAAACTTGATAATTTACAAATGGATGAAGGAAAAATTTGGGATCAAGTTATTAAATGGGGAATCGCTCAAAATCCTGATTTAAATTCTAATCCTTCACAATGGTCCTATGAAGACTTTTGCACTTTAAGAAATACACTTCGTAACTGCTTACCCCATATTCATTATTTTCAAATTTCTGGTAAAGATATTTTAGAGAAAGTACTACCATATCAACAAATTCTTGAACCTAATTTGTGGAAAGATATTATGACAAGACATATGGCTCCAAACGAGGCTATTAATTCTGTTGTCTTGCCTCCTCGGACAATTTCGAGTAATATACTTCCGCAAAGGAGTACTTTAGTTGGTGAGTGTACAATTTCTCTTATTTGCTCTAATAATACTTATTAAATTAATTTTATATGTTATATTTGAGTATTTGATCAATACGAAATTTTGTAACATCCAAATTTTTTATTATGATATAATTAAAATTCTATATTTTTATATTTAAAGAATTTGAAGGTATGTCTAAATTTTAAAAATTAAGGTATTAATATTACTAGAATTAAAATTATATATTTTATAAATTGTTTATACCAAAGCAACAACAACACGTAAGTATAAATTTTAAAATTTTTATTTTATTTTTAAAGAATAATTATTAAAATAACTTATATATTAAAGATGAATGTAGATATAAATTTTAAAATTTTTGCATTTTTTGTAAGAATAATTATTAATTAATATTTATATATTATATTAGATTTAAATGGTAAATATAATTTTTTTTTAAAAATATTTACAATTTTGTATTATTATATTAAAATATGTTTATTTGTACTAAACAATTAGTTAGTAAGTATTAATTATTTAAGAATTTAAAAAATTCAATTTTGTACTACTATATTAAATATACTTGTTTGTATTAAATAATTAGAGATGGTAAGTATAAAATTTAAATATTCGTTTAAAAGTTTTAAATTAATTAATTTTGTGTTAAATATATTACAATATTTGTATTAAACAAAAGGCAAGTATAAAATTTTAAGCTTTAATTAAATTGAATACTATCAATTAAAAACCAGAAAGTCTATTAAAACTTTTGGTTTTTACTTAATAACATTACAATCAATTTTCACTAAACTGAACACATGAGCTTATTAAATAGCTTCAAAAAAGTTGGTTTAAAATATATTTAACATTTATCCAAACTTTGTAATAATGTTAAAAATTTAGAGTATTATTTTAGGCAGAGTTTGTTAAGTGTTTAATTTATTCAAAATTGATTTATAGAGGGTTGACTATATTTTAAATATTTATTAAATATTTAAATATCATATAAATATATTTAAATATACTTATTTAAATAATTAGATTGTAAGTATAAATTTTAAATAAGATTATTATATTTATAACACCGGTGTTATATAACACCTATATAGTCTGAGTTGGGTTATAGTGCAGCTTTGAGATAAATAGAGGTTTTTATAAAATTATGTATATAGATATAAGGTCCCGATTTCAGTCTCGTGAGGTTTTTGGGTCCTGAATAGAGTACCCGATCTCATTTACTTAATACGTTTTTGAGATATAGTATGAGATGTTATATAACATAGTGTTATAAATATTACTTTCCTTTTAAATATTTGTTTAAATTAACTATAGTAAAACTTTTAATATATTATTAATATATTTATATTTATATTTGTTTATTTTATAAAGTGCCTAAAGTACCTTGTAAGTATAATTTTTTAAACTTTTTATAGCCTGTAAATATTTATATATAGTAAATTAATTTCTATTAAATAATTAGCAAAAAGAAAAAGTATTCTTGCAAGATCTAAAAGCTTTTTTACTCGAAAGCAATAAAGTAAGTATGAATATTTTAAATTATTTATTTTATTTTTAATATAGTAATTAATGCTAAAATTTGGTCTAGCTTAATATAAAATTTTGGAATTTTTGAATAAATTGCTAATTAAATTTTACCTATTTTAACATAAATTTTAAGATTTTTTAGTTATAGTTTTAATATTTTGTTTAAAGCTAATTAAAATTAATTTAGATCAGAGTTTTTTAAAAAAAAGTAAAAAAAACTTTTAGCAAATATTATAGGTTTAAATAAAATTTCAAATTTTAATATTAGCAATTTTAGAATAATCTGCCGCCGCAGTTAAGAATTTTTTACAAGTTTTTTTTACAAATGATTGTATTAATTATTGGTTTTATATACTTACTAGGAACTGGAAACCAGTAGAAGTCCGGAGCATAAAATATTAAAATATATAGATATTATTTATAAATATATACATTTATTTATTAAATATTAATACATATTATAAATACTATATATATATAGTATATACTATATATATATATAATTTTTTTGATATATAAAAAAAAAAATTATTATAAATTAACTAATCAAGTTGCAACCTAAAAAAAAGATATAATATATGCTAATTTAAATATACATAGGCAAGTTTTTTTTTGTGTAAAGTAGAGTTGGGGTATAGAAAATCCTCAGATGAGGATGACATAACACTCTTAAACATAATATAAAACATCAAATATAATTAGTAATTTATATGTAATGATTTAGCATCACAACTGTGTGCCCGTGTGATAATTTGAAATCATGCCCCATGCCCAACCTTAGTGTAAGATAGTATAGTAAATCAATACTGTAGTGATAACAACAGACTTGAAATATAGAACTTACTTAAGTGAAGGGTAGCATCTTCTACATCATACAGATTTGGTGGTTAAGCATGCTACATGTTATAGACAACCCACAATGGCAACTTATAGAGGGGAAAAATAAAATCATTTGCTTATTTATTATTGTACTAAACACTTACAGGGAATGCGTTATGAAGGGCATATATTTTATATTCAAATTATATCGCAATATCATGCGCATTTTATATAACATGTGCATGTTATTATAAAATGCGCATTTTTTCCAACTATAATTTAGGGAATACAATCACATAATATTATAAAAAATTCATCTACCCTAACCTAATATTATGAAAATCATATAGTGTTCCGCACGGATCGGATTTGACAGATATTTTTAAGGATCTGGATTTAATTCGAAAATTCGGATTCGTGTTTAAATAGACGGATTCTCGGATCCTGATGCTTTATAAATGATGGACCGAATCTTTATTTGGATCCAAATTCGACAGATCTTAAAAATAGTGGATCCGATCTGGATCTGTCAACGAATCCGGAACTTCAAATCCATTTTGCGAAACACTACGTTTACATAAGCTATAATATGTGACGAATGTAATAATAAGGTGCATCTACCCTAACCGTTAACTAATCAATGACAATGCAAACACGTGAATTAAGTTGTATATATGTACGTGCATCCGATGGAATTCAGCTTAAGAATTGACATAGTGCTGAAGAATGGAAAACAATAATGTTTCTCGTGAGGCTCGCAGAAAGCGTAAAAGCAAAGAAAGTGAGACATCCCAACAACGTGAAGCCCGACTTGCTCGTGAACGCGAAAGAAAATGGCAAAAAAAAATGCAGGAGACCAGTGAAGAGCGCGAAGTGCGTATGTCACGTGAACGTGATAGAAAACGGAAAGAGAGAGAAATGAAAACTAATGAGCAACATGAAGAACGTCTAAATTATCAGCGTTATTTTCGTGAACAAATTAAACAACAAAATCTGTCACAGATAATTGAAGAACTGGATCCAATTATAGACACTCAGGGGAATTGTAGTCATCATCAAACTGACATTAACACCACAAATATTGAAGCAGTTTCCTCTGCTGAACTTACTGAAATAAATCGTGATCTATTAAAAAAGTTTCGCACTAAAATAGATAATCTTAAACACACTCTTTGTCCTGTATGTAATGAGTGCTTTCCGTCAATAGTGTTAGTTAAGGGCGAATGCAGGCGTTGTTACAATGAGAAAAGTATGCCAAAAAATTCTCAGTGGAAAATAATATGGACCCTGGTGATATGCCCGAAGAACTTAAAGGTCTTACCAAAATAGAAGAGATGCTTATAGTACAAGTTTTTTCAGTAATGTCTGTATATAGACTTCGCGAAGAACAACTGGGGTATCGTGGTAATGTTATAAATTTTCCCCAGGACATATGAGAGTTTATTACTCGCTTCCTCGGCATCCATCTTCATTATATATACTGATTGTGTGTCGTCAGTCTGGAGATTCAACTTCTTTCAGGGACTTCAATGTTCGGCATGCTAAAATTTCCCGGGCACTATATTGGCTAAAAGCAAACAATCGTTACTATGCTGATATTACTATAGATAATGAAG